ACTATTAAATGACAATTCACACTAAAACAAATTCTAGATAATTTAATTTCCTTCAATTCGTTTTCTTTCCATTCAAATTCAATAATTCCAATCAAACAAACCCGTAGTTTTTTTTATTTTTCTTTTCTTTTTTATTTTATTTTACTTAATTATAAAGGTATATTTGTCATTTTACATGAAAATGATGTTTTTGGATAATCAAAGGTGTAATTCGGGATGAAAATGCCAAAAAAATAAAAAAAATATGAATGTTTCACAAAATAATTGTAATATGTATGGATATTATGTGTTAATTACCCTTTCATATGCTTTTTTTGTGTGAATTTCACGTATGTTATTAAACAATTTTGCTGTACTTTCAATAGTTGTTTATAATATTAAGAGCATCTACAAAAAAAATTCTTTATTTTTGAAGAGTATGTTTTATAATTTTAAAAGCATCTATAAATTTTGAGTAAAAAATTTTAAGTGTTCCAATCGGTCATTTATCTTTAACAATTAATTTTACTATTACCAAAAAACTAGAGACGTGCATTTTTTCTATGAACCTAACTGAACTAGGTAGAACTAGTCGGTTCGACTTTGATTCCTCTATTAGATAGATCGATTTTGGTACCATACACTAAGAACTAGTCAATTTCAGTTTGGCCCTTGGTACTACATTGAGAGCCAGTAGTGAATTCGATTATCTCTAATTTTTCTTTTTACTATTCCAAGATGCAGTAGATCCTTGAACATTAGACCTTAAAATTATCTCAAGTCAAAATTCTATTTTCCATATGCTTTTTCTTCTTTCCTTTGCAGCAAAACTAACGAGTAGTCAAAACTTAAGTTTAAATAATTTTATAAATACTTTAAAAATTCATATCTTTAATGCACCCCAATAGGAAAAAAATATATTTTTAGTTTAATATTTCATAAGATTTCAAATTTCTTGTTGTTTTCAAAGTGGTCAACCACAAAAAATCAAGATCCTCGAAGATTACAAAAGATAATCAGGTTCTAAATGCTACATATAATTTGATATCTATTAGGGAAAATGCAGTCGAGGTACCAACATATTTCGTTTATTAGCAGACTTGATCCAAATATTTCATTTGTGCCACCCACGATACCAAACCTTTCAAAAATTCGTACCCGAAGTCTAAATGAATGAAAACCGTTAGTATATCCGTCAGTTGACCCAGAGTCAGCATTTTGACCAAATTTTGATTACATTTAAAAGGGTAAAAATGTAACATTATATTTTCTATAAAAAAAACAATTAAATTAATTAAATTAAAAAGCCAAAAAGAAAATAAAAAGAAAAGAATTTGAAAAAAAAAAATCATCTTATTCTTCCCTAGACCAAGCCCACCCAACCCACCGAAGTCAAACCAACGTCCACCCACTCCAATTACGCCGACCACTGCCGTCCACCACTCCAATTGCGCCGTCCATCACTCCCAAATCAATCTTCAGCTCGCGAGGTTAGAAAGATTAAAGATGGCCCCTCAAGCCGCCATAGTTCCAAGATTAAAGATGGCTCCTCAAGCTCTTATTTATCAGCTTGAGTGGGATACTAGATGAGCTGCTGCTCGCATTCAGCTGTCCAGCATTAACAAGAGCTTGAGGATGAATTTGTTAATGCTGGACAGCTGAAGAATTTGTTAACAAGAGCTTGAGGATGAATTTGCTAACAAATTTGTTAATGCTGGATAGTTTCCCACAAATTCATCCTTCCTGGATGAGTTAGATACGTTCACAAAACCTGAAGAAAGAATTTCATTTGGCAGTGATGGTTCCATTTGTTGGTTCTGGTTTTTTTAAAATGGTTGAACCCCAACCATGAGGACCTCCACTGTCCCGCTCCTAAAATTTTGTGAGGGAGGTAAATCGCGGGATGTGCCCCAATAGGTCAGAAAACAAGAGCTGCCTGTACACTGCGCCTACAAGAAGTCCAATTCCATGTCTCAAGAATCAAACCCCCACATTGCGGCGTGAGATAACCTCACTCCTGTCATTTACACCACTGGGCTATGCCCCATGGGCGGTTCTGGTTTTTTTTTTTTCCTTGGGAGTGGGAGGTATAGAGTCTGTGAAGAAGATAACGGGTAATTTGCTTTTAGATTTTTTATTTTAATTGTTTTTTTTATAGAAAATATAATGTTACATTTTTACTCTTTGTCAAAATTTGGTCAAAATGTTGACTCTAGGTCAACTGACGGATTTACTAACGATTTCTATCCATTTGGATTTCGGGTGTGAATTTTGAAAGGTTTGATATCGTGGATGGCACAAATGAAAGGTTTGAGTTAAGTCTGCTAATAAACGAAATGTTTGGTACCTCGGCTGCAATTTTCCCTATTATGCATTTGCTTAAAATTATTCTTCGATCAATATTTTGCCGTTTATGGTGTGTTTAGTAGTTTTTATTTTCTTTCGCCTTTATGAGTTGTCTTGAGTTTTGGATTTAATTTTTGTTTGTTGAGTTGTTTAATTGATTTTTTTTTATCGTTAGATTACAAGAATAACAAGTGATTTCATACTCTATTTTTGTCCATTTTCAATTGACAAGTAGTTTCACACTCTTATTTTAATATTTTTTCAATATACTAGACCAAATCGAAATAGAATTTTGTTCGGTTTCGATTTTGTTCTATAGTTGGATATAAAATCAATGGTTCCATTTCTAGAATTTTCATTGGTACTCGATTCGGTTCGATTCCTTTTAGAATTGTACCGACCCATATTGCGCTCGCTCCCACGAAAACTATTTATTATTTATGTCTTTTATTTTCTATAAGTTTCTTCCAAATTATTGTATTACCTCCATTGAAAATTGAAATTTAAAGAGTCAAACTCATTCTATATTTTAAAAGAATAATGAGATGCGATCCCACTAGGGTTATAACCCCAATCCAAGTGGTGCTTGAAAATAGGCTGCATGAAATATGAAATTAAATGACTTATTTAATTTTATCTATCATTTAATGTCATATTAACACCACTTAAACTGTGGTTATAACACCAGTAAGGCTAAATAACATTATTCATTTTAAAATGTTAATTTGAAGAGTTTCTTGAAATATAATTTTAAGAATTGACTCTCTAAAATATAAAATATCTTATGTTTAAAAAGTCTTTTAAAAATGCTTTACAAGAAAGATAAATGTCAAACATTCAATCATAGTTATTAAAATAGACCAGACTGGCTGGTCCAGTTCAGGAATTGCTGAGCAGCATCTTGGTATGGTCCGATTCAAGTGATTTAATCGATCAAGTATATGAACTGGTTAAACCACTAACCAACCATTCGAACCGAATGGTTTTAAAAATGCTCTACAAGAAAGATAAATGTGAAACATTCAATTATAGTTATTTCGAGTGATTTAATTGATCAAGTAAGCATATGAACCGGTTAAATCACTAACCAACCGTTCGAACAGGATGGTTTTTAGTGGAATCGGATCGTTACTAAATTGAAGTAAAATTTTAAGTTAAATTTGCTAGAACTTTGATTCGAAACCAGGCAACAAAAGAAACATTTTACCTCCATGATTGCCATAATGGTGTATACATATATTAGATTTCGAAAAATGGTTTCTTTTTTATTTCAAAAATATAATATAATTAAAATTAAAGTTTAACAATAAACCACCGATTAAATTATGGACCCATTGTCATCCAATACGTTGCAGCAAGAAATTTCCAATTATAAAAAATATTTAAAAGGCAGATTTTAGCACATAAATTTTTGTCAGGTTTTAATGATTAGAATTGACAAGCATATTTAAAAGGCAGATTTTAGCACATAAATTTATGTCGCATATTATTTCTATTTTTTTTTATATATATAAAAGTAATTTTTTTTCTTATATTTAGATATATATCTATATCGAAGTGGGGGAGGAATGAAAATTGCGTGTTGCAGTAAATTTGTAGGTAGTGTATAATAAAATAAAATATATACCAAGCAAACGACGTCGTTTTTGATCCCTAATTGAAAAAAAAAACAAAACAAAAATGCTATAATAAAAATGGATCAAGTCACTGTTGCTTTCTACAGTACCTTCACAATCCCTTTTTATATAGTAGGATTATATCCTCCAATACGTTGCAGCAAGAAATTTCCAATTATAAAAAATACTTAAAAGGCAGTTTTTAGCACAGAAATTTTTGTCAGGTTTTAATGATTAGAATTGACAACCATATATGTGAATACGCGTGTAAAGGTTTAAAGTTATGGATCCAGTAACATGCGAACATGTGTACCATGGATTTAACGGCCATCCTTTGCTTGTCCCTTCCGTCATAGCGCTGTCGAGAAAAATAGCGTGGGTTCAATTAAGATTCCTTTTATGATTTATTTTTTTCCATCAATCTTGATTCAACAACATATCTCGGGAAAGATTCATAAAAATTAATTATTTGACAATAATATTAAGCTCCTTTCGATGGCTATTATAAATATAAATTAAAGAAAAATGATGTTTTGAATAGTAAATTCTTTTGAAGAATATGTACGTATAAAATATTTTATTATATAAACTTGTTATTAAAAATGAGTATGCGAAATAAAGAGTTTTGAAATAATTAAAGCGGGCATGGGCTAAATCATGTAACATTTTTATCGCATTTTAATTTCACGAGTATTTGAGTCGATGTATTGCAATTTTTATCCACTAAAACAACTTTGACATTTGATTCCAAGTTTTCCACAGGAGTCGTAGGGCCAGAGAGGAAAAGGAATGAGGGAACGCAAGTGGAGATGGGGAGAGGTTACACGACATGTGTGAGAAAAGTTATCGTGACAAGCGTTAAAAGATAAAGATAACGTGACATTATATAAAATGAGAGTGCATGATCAACCCACGTAAAGCACCTAGATATTCCTTTTGCAACAATACAACTACAACTTAATTTGCACGATATTTGGAAGGTAATTCTTGTAATAAAGACTATTATTGTAATTGCATGACGCTACTGAATATTGTGAAAAAGAACCCAAAAAAAATATAAAATATAAATAACTTTGTTTTCTACTACTAATTTCTCATCTCCTTCTTGTTATCCCCAGTCACGGGCCTACAGAAGATTTGTATGTTCCACAAACTTCTCACATTGCATGGGAAACACAGAAATAGTTCTGCGGATTATATCACAAATTTAGATCTGTGGATCATCAAAAGTTTCAAAATTAGATGCATTTGCTATATATAGAATATGTACTTACTGATTGCCCTTATCTTTGTACCTGGAAATCCAAATTCTTGTTATTCTGAGGCTTCCCTAAACATGGGATTTTCCCATAAAGTTGTTACATTTCTCTCCAATTCCTTTCCTTCTCATATTCAGGAATTTCTTTAGCCTTGCCTTTGGGCAAGGTTTTCAGCCCTTCTTTGTTTTCTTCTCTCCATTGTTCCAACATTAATTCAAAATATTCTAAATTTCTCGAAAATTGTGCCGCAGAAGATGGCTCCATGGAGGAATTTTCTGATTTTTTTATGTGCTTTTGATCCTTTGTAGATGATTTATTGATGAGTGGACAGGGAAGAAAAATGGAGAATAAAGGACATATTTTGATGAAAAGGTACGAGCTGGGGAAATTGCTCGGACAAGGGACTTTTGCAAAGGTTTATCATGCGAGAAACCTTAAAACTGGCCAGAGCGTGGCTGTTAAAATCATTGATAAAGAGAAGGTAATGAAAATTGGTTTGATCGATCAAATCAAACGTGAGATTTCTGTAATGAGGCTAGTGAAGCACCCCAATGTTGTTCAGTTGTACGAGGTTATGGCCAGCAAATCCAACATATATTTCGCCATGGAATACGTTAAAGGCGGCGAGCTTTTCAACAAGGTGGCTAAAGGAAGACTCAAGGAAGAGGACGCCCGGAAATATTTCCAACAGTTGATTGCCGCGGTCGATTTTTGCCACAGCCAGGGTGTCTACCACCGCGATTTGAAGCCAGAAAATCTCCTTCTTGATGAAGCAGGGAACTTGAAGGTGTCGGATTTTGGGCTGAGTGCATTGCTGGAATCGAAAAGGCAAGACGGCCTTTTGCATACAACTTGTGGGACTCCAGCATATGTGGCGCCGGAGGTGATAAACAAGAGGGGCTATGACGGCGAAAAGGCAGACATTTGGTCATGTGGAGTCATTCTCTTTGTTTTGCTAGCTGGTTATCTTCCATTTCATGATAGTAATCTCATGGAAATGTATAGGAAAATAAGGAAAAGTGAATTCAGGTGCCCACAATGGTTCCCTCATGAGGTTAGAAAGCTTCTTTCAAGAATTCTTGATCCAAATCCATTTACAAGAATTACAGTAGCTAGGCTCATGGAAAATGCCTGGTTCAGAAAAGGGTTCAAGCAAATTGAAGTCGCAGATCTTGATCTCGACGAGGAAGATTTTCCTCGCAACATTTTTGACGCCATTGATTCAGATTCAGAGGGTTGTTCTTCCAAAGGGAAAGAAGAAAAGAAAAAATTTCCTAGGCTGCATAGTTTAAATGCATTTGATATAATCTCTCAGTCCCCAGGATTCGATCTGTCGGGTTTATTCGAAAAAGACTTGAAGAACAAGGCCGAGGTATGGTTCACAACCGAAATGCCACCGTCACAAATTGTGTCAAAATTGGAGAAGGTGGCTTCGATGGAGAGTTTCAGAGTGAAGAAAAAAGATGGACTAGTGAAATTGCAAGGCAGCAAGTGGGGGAGAAAAGGGCAGCTGACGATAGATGTCGAAATATTCGAGGTGACACCGTCACTTCATGTGGTGGAGGTGATGAAAAGTGCTGGAGATACCTTGGAATATAGGAGGTTTTGTGATCAAGAGTTGAGGCCTTCACTCAAGGATATAGTTTGGACTTGGCAGGATAATAATTCTAGTACTATTGAAGAACATTTGCAGCGACAGCCTGAAGATCATGGACTCAACCTCAAGGCATACTAGAGGTTCAAAATGTATATTTTCAAGTAAAGATTACATATGTATCAAGTAGGGCAGATCTTACCTCCTGCCAACAGTGGATAGGATAAAAATTTCCTACTGCTGATGTGACAGAAGAACCTTAAAGTTCTTTGCAACATGCATACCTTTAGAGAGCCATACTTACGGCTCTCCGTGTCCACTGGGGACAGGAGATAAATTCTATCAAGTAGGGAGTCTCTCATTTAATTTAGAATAAGCTATCCATCTCTTTTGTTTACTAAAATTTTTCCTTAAATTTAGCTATTTCCTTGGAATGAATTTAAGCAAAAACCCTTTGTATATTGGGTAAAATAGAATTCACCACGATTGAAATCTTTTTCAAATCTATTTCTGTTGCTGTTCTGGAATCAATTGCTCTATATTAGATAAATTCTTAGTTAATTCTTTAATATCTGATGTAATGATTACGATCCATTAGATTTTATGCTACGAGATTTTGTTTACAATAGCGAGCCAGCTCTGTCAAATATTTAGTTATCGAGTACGTGCTCTGTTCTCACAATTTATAATATAGCCTCAACCATTTGAGCCGACCTTAATCTTAGCATTCTATAGTTTAGATGTTCCAACACTATGTGTATGATTTACATGTGAATGCACAAGAGAATCAGTTAATTAATTTGTTCCTATAATGCATCAACATCCAATTAGTTATCAGCAGTTCCCCAAACTCAAAAAGAAAATGTACCCATATGTACTTGACAAGCATGTTTAGCAAAATAATAATAATCATCATCATCATCGTCGTCATCATTTCCTAGAAGTTGGGGTATCACAAATTGTGTAGAATAAAATTCATAAATCCAACTTATAACGCAGATAAGTTGGGAACACAACTTTGAACTTGAAAATTTAACCTACGCAATTTGCTGAATTCCGATTTATATAAAAGAAAAAAAAAATCGCCACACATGCACAAAGTCTACAGGCCACATCGATGACTCCCCTTCCTAGTCGTACAATATAACATAAACAAATACCAATAAAGAAAAGACTAAATGCACCCAAAAAAAAAAAAAAAAAAAAAAAAGGCTAATTATTTTCTAGGAAAAATGAATGCATGTCAAATAAAAAGTTGTACATGAAGTTAAACAAAATTTCCCAATTACAGAATTCACATAAACTACGAAATGATTACAATCGTTGACCTCAAATTTTGTAACCCTAATGTGGCTAACAGATCCCAAAGCCTTATACTTTCTTGCAAGACTAATCACTACATACTTTGATAAACCATTAGCCACACGTGGCTTCCTCGGATAGGGGTGAAGTTGGCCGTCGCACTCTGACGATCAAGTCAGTTGAAAAAAATATATATGTGTGTGAGAGTGCTTTAAACGTGAGCCTCCAATGTAAAAAGTAGCGGCTTTGAAGAGTGATAGATAGAATAATGATATAGCGAAGTTATAACTTAAGAGTTTAAACTTACATTATCTTTGGAATAGCACATTGTGCGAACTTTTATAGTAGAGTATGTTGAATACCAACCGTAGGATGAAATTGTATGCGGCTTCATATGTGTGGATGAGGCCTCTTGTCCAAGATGTCAAGCTATACGAGCATTGAATGTTAATACCACTTTATTATCCATAATATCTCGCATGGGACTTAGACTTGACCTAACTGGTGGATAGGGCGACGATAGTAATGAGTTGTCACATCAATCACGTACCAAGGATTATAGAAAGATCTCCTCCTGAGTCCTTTCTATAGCCTCTCCAATTATGAGAGTTCGGTTCTCTACAAAGGAGTCGACTTAGTTCAATAGGTTGGTATCCAACATTGATTTGACCTCTTTACGAAGTTCAACCAAATGCCTCTTGGCGGTTTGATATAGAGTGTGAAGCCCAAGTTGGCTATAAATATGAGGAACATAGTCTAACAAAATGTGGTCATATAGCACTTACTTATGCAAATGCAAGAACAAGAGGGATATCAAATGTCTTAGCAGGGTGCTTTCCAGCAAGATGAGGGTGAGCATAATCAAAGGATTTACTCTAAAGGTAAAAGAGAGACCCTAGCCCTACTGAAAGAGAGTAGAGGTGGACATGTTAACTAATTACACCTTTAGCAGACTTGTTGACAATTTACCACAAGGGACAGAAAATCTTCCCTTAGAATGTACACGAGAGTGTGAACCTTAAAAATCCACCAGTGACTTTGACAAAACTGGCTCATCGGCACCTAGAAATAGCCTTGACAACCTCATCCTATGCAAAGGCAACAAGATTATAGGCAAAGCCATGACCCCCAAGAAGTCCTTCCACCTAGAAATAGGCGAGAAAGAAAGGACACTGCAAATTTGAAAAACCAGGCCGGTACGTCACAATCGTCTCGATACTAGGTTGAAGATGAGGATTCTGATGGCCCATGTAGATCTTTCGAACTGGATGATGACGGTGAAAGTCTTCCATTTTTGCAAGAGTTGAAGATTGTCCATGTTTCCAATCACTTCGTATGGCCAAAGATTCCTAAATATGAAAGAAATGATGACGTATGAAAAATGGCTAGAATTTTGTTGGCTAGAAATCCGATTGCACTCCTATAGTTAAATCAGCTGTCGCGTCAAAGAGAATTGAGTGCAAGAGACGGGATAAGGGATTTGGCTAAGGTTAGAATGAAAATACCTTTGATTGTGAATGGAATCACCTATATATAGAGAAATGAGAGGGCCTAAGTAGGTGCTAATGAAATGGGCCCAAGTCCAAGCCCAATATAAGGTTACTTAATTTAATAGGTCCAATCCAATTAAATAATCAATATCGAGTTTGCCAATGTGGGACCTTCTCCATCATGCTTATGTCACGTAATTTATAGGTGTAACAATCTAGTTGAATCTCTTTCCTCCCTTGAGAACTTTAAAGAATAGAAGGTATTTATCGATGGCATTTGAAACGAACCGGCTCAATGCTGCCAAACAGCCTGTGAGACTTTGCACTTTCTCAAGTTTTCTAAGGAACCTCATGTCCAATAAGGCTTTGATCTTTTCAAAGTTAGCCTCTATGTGTCATTGATTGACCATGAATTTTCTAGAGGCTACAACAAAAACACACTTGAATGGGTTTAGCCTCATTCCATGCCTTTCTACAATTTTGAAAGCAGCTTCAAGGCGTTCAACATGGTTCACAGATTTAAGGCTCTTTACTACCATACCATCCTTAAACTTCCATTATCTTGCCAATGAGGTCGATAAACATTTTGTTAACAAACTTTCAATAAGTCGCCACGACCTTTTTCAGGCCAAAGGGCATGACTTGGTAACAATAAAGTCCCCTATCTATGATGAATGAGGTGCTTTCCTCGTTAGATGGATGCATGGGGCCTTAGTAAGCATCCATAAAACTGAATAACTCATGTCTTACAGTAGAGTCCATATATTGGTCTATCCTTGGAAGTAGGAAACTGTCCTTGGAACAGGTTTTTAAGGTTGGAAAAGTCTATACATACCCTTCACTCGTCGTTGTACTTTTTTACTAGGACCGAATTAGAAATCTACTTCGAATAGATAGCCTCTCTGATGAACCCTTTGGTTATCAACTTTTCCAATTTTTCCTTCAATGTTTTGTGTCTTTCTAGGTTAAGAGCTATCATCTTTTGCTTGTAAGGAGTGAACTTTGGATCAATATTAATGTGGTAACAACTAGTTTTAGGGTAGATGCATACCATATATTCATGCCTCCAGACGAAAATGTCCAAGTTTATTAGCAAGAAGCTCTTAAGCTTCTACTTGTCGTCCAAATTCAACTCCTTTCCTACTTGGAGCATATTGTGGGGTCTTATGGGTCTACTAAGGATTGTATGAAAGATCTCCTGGTGAGTCCTTTATGTCGCCTCTCCCATGATGAGGGTTCAGTCCTTCGCAAAGTGGTCGACTTAGTTCAATGGGTACGGTATCCCACATTTGTTCTGCCTCTTCACGAGTTTCGACCAAATGCCTGTTTGGTTTGACATGGAGTGTAGGGCCCATGTTTACTTGTTACATGGGATTTCTAGAGCCTTGTCATGTACAGCGCACGGACACATACATTTTAAGTTAGGGGGCATAATCAAACTTACAAAAAAGTTGTGAGGCATTTTCATTCGATACCCCATGTAACTTTACATCCAAAAATTTACACGAATTTGACTTGCTCGGATGTAAAATTTCGAAATTTTTTGATGTCATATCCCATGTAAAATTTTCTAATAATATGATGTAAATTATACTGAAAATTTGTATTGCAATAATAATAATTGAAAATTTTTAAAGAAAATATGAGTTATAAGACTCTTTTTAAGATGCACTTGTAGACAAAAAATAAAATAAAATGGATTGAGTCGATTTGAATCATTAGCCCAATTAAATTAAAGTCTACTAAGGTCCATAACCCAAAGGCCCATCCCACATTTTAAATAAATAACTAAACAAACAAATAAATAAAACCATAATCACTCAATTATCCCTTTTAATTAAATATAATTGAGCAATTACCAAAATTAGTACGAATTCTCCTCAATAAATAGGACCAATGGTCCATAAGATAAGGGTACAAGAAGAAGAAGAGGTGAAAGCGAAGCAAGAAAGAAAGCAGAGAACGCAATCACGAAGTGCTGAAAAAATTCCAAAGCCGAAAGAAGGGAAGAAATCCTCTCAAAACTAAACTCAGTGAACCCAAAGAAGATCAAAATCTTTTTCGAATCAAACAGGTTCATGCCAAATCCAAAAAGATCAAAATCTTCTTCAAATCAAATCAAATTCAAGTCCAAATCCAAGCCTCAAGATTCAAGTTTCGAAAAAATCAAGTCTCGACAAATCAAATTTTCAACAAATTTTCGAAGACCAGGATTCAAGCCACGTGGTCTCTCATCTTCAAATATTCAGATCATTAATTAGAGAATTTTTGCAATTTTTCAATTACAAGAATGTCAACATCACTTGTATTTCTCAAAATACAATTTGTAACAATTTCTGTACTTTAGTACATGAAATTTCATCGTACAAATTTCTTGGCACGGCCGGTGAGACTTTCTTGTCATTTCATCTTTTGATCTCAAAATCTTCAAATTTCAATTACTACATCAACAATGGCAGGTAAAAAGGTGAAACAAACTATGACTCATCTTGAAGAGACACTTGTTGAACTGTTCCACGCGACTAGGGCCCAAACAAAAA